AGCGCTGCTTACCAAAATAAACTTTGAACTAATTTTTAATTGATAATCTCATGTTAGAGTTGATTCTACGAAAATCGAAAGAACACTTCATTTACTAAACAGAAGAGTTCGTAGCTATACCAATTGAGGTATGCCTAGTTTCCATATCTCTCGAAATTTAGGCGTTCATACTGTCAGCCAGACATACGATATTAAAAGATAGAGTGGTTGTAAGTCGATGTCTTTATTTCCATAAGCATCTAAAGCATACTCTTGTCAAGCTGGCCAAGTTTGTGGAGCTCTTCTAATGTTACAAATATAGGATCTCACAACTTTTTGAATATACTCAATATTCGATATAAAATAGAGGTGCTTGAGTTGTTGAACACTTTTCGAACATCACTTTATTTGCAACAACAGCTAATAATGCTTATATAAATTTTTGGTGCATCCAACACTTGGGTTATTCGAAATAGAGGCGTTCATACTGTGAGACAGATGAACCTTCTATTCGCAACAAGCAGCAGACAATGCCAAAGATATCCTTACCCCTGTTATACAAAATGTTGAGTAGCAAGTTTTGAGTTGAGTTGAGAGTAATCGACGAGTGTCTGGAAAAAAACAATGGTGAGAATTTACGCACACATGCACACGCACACACATGGATACATGTATAGGCAGGATACTAGACTCGACTTCTTACCTGTCTGTGCGTCATAAAAAGGACCGCATATAAGTTGAGTTGTTGTTGTGTCTGCTGCGGCTAAAATTACAAGTAATTGAACCGAAGCGACAGCAGCCGAACCGATAACTGTGTGCGAGTATCTGGCCCTGTGTGTGTGTGTGTGTGTGTGTGTGCGAGTTGGAAACATGTGTGCAACGTCACTAAAAAACAGGCACGGCACAGGCACAGGATGTTGATGCGAGCCGCAAGCGTTGCTCGCAGGCATTTAGCAGCTAAATGTAGCAACAACAACAGCTAAAACTAAAAGAATAATAAAAGCGGAAAAAGGAGGATGAGGCGGAGGCGGAGGTGGAGGTGGAGGCGGCGGCAAACAACAGAACATAAATAAATAACTGAAAGGTTCACCCATGGGCAGAAGGGGGTAATCGAGTAGCGCGCAAGCGGGGCGGAAAGTAAATTGAGAGTCGACGGCGCTGATCGCTTCAGTTTTCATGCAACAACAACAATAACAGCCGCCCCATGGAAAAAATGAAACAATATTTGAACGATATCCCACGCACCTGCCCTGGGTGCCCCATAAACGAGGGCAGGGGTAGGGAGGTAGGGCCGGGGGATACATGATCTTTGGCGAACAACAGCAACAGCTGTTCTGCTGCTCTGTGCGTGTATGTGTGTGTGTATGTGTGTGTGTGTGTGTGTTTGTGTGAGAAAAACAACGCCCCTCCTTGGAAATTCGATATACTTTTTGCAAAAGAGCACTTTTTTAATGCAACAAAGCACAAAGCATTTTCTACGGCAGCATTATTAAGACAAATGCACCATTTAATATCCAATTGGGTTCCATTATCCTTCGATAGTCCTTTCCTTGTCGGCAAATTTCATGTTTCTTATATCAAAGGATTTGAATTTATGGCACCATTAAATAGAGTACACAAAATGATTTGAAGTACATGGCAGATGAACTACTTGAACTTTCTTTAAAGCTTTTCTTTGCGCTTCTCATGTGTTGGCAAAAGCAACGTTATTGCAATTGCACAGAAATTTAAGTCAATGTTAAAATTGTATTGCAAATCTAATTAGAGGAAAGCGCAATAAAAGAAAAATTAAAATTGATGAATTGGTTAAGGTTCTGCTAATGTTTGCTAACAAACATTATCATTTTAAATATAAGGTGATGGAAAAAGTCATAGAAACGATATTTATTCTTTTAATCAGAACTTCAATCTGCAATTTTTGGCCAACTTAATGCAAGATAATGACCCTTAAAAGACTTTGAAACCTACAAAAAAAGAATAGAGCACCTATGGGGGATATTAATAAAGAGATTGTCTGGGTTTAAAGTGCAGACCCAATGGTATGCTATTGATTCCTTAATTTTAATCAAACTGGTGGAATTTATACAACCAAATATTTGTTATAACTCAACATTTCATATATTGCCAACCAAAAAATAAGAAAAAACATTATTTCGCGATCTGTACAAAGCTTAGCTTTATCTAAAAAAAATTTAAGCAGGTATTCTGAAAAATACATATTTAGTAAAAAAATAATTACAATTTAAAAGATAAAATTTGTATGAAAAAATTAGAAAATCTTGTCACTGTGGCTTTACTTTGAAACACTCTCGAATGCTTGAATTGAGTACCTCGAATTTTTCTAATAGCTAGAAACGTTACAAATCCCCTTCTCGTAGTAAGAGAAAATATTGTAAAATTCTCATGTCAGAAACAGAACCATTCAATTGGTTAATAAATAAAACTTAAATCTGCAATCTAATTGGCCGGACGCGCTCGCCCGCCTACTCAAAGCCCTCAAAGGACACTTGCTATCCAATAAAAATGAAAACATTTCTGTGCCTACAATTAGCGCAACAAGCTTATAGTACAGCATTTAAAATGTACATAAAATCGGCCAACTATTTTATATATGTACGTGTGTGTATAAGTATATATAGCCATTGAGAATGTAAAGCACCTTTAAAACGTTCGCCTTTGTGTTTATTAACTGCTGCGCGGCCAGAGTAAGCGTGTTTTTGGGGGCTCCTCTTGTTTTGAAATATTTGCATTTTTTATGAATATAATCAAAGTGATGTTTTAAGCCATATAACTAACCAACAAATACTACATATATATGTATGGACGTGCTGTGTACTGCAATGCTGCAGCAATATTTTAAGCCAATTTGTCACAGATTTTGTGAAATTGTAGTTAGTTGTAAAAATTGCATTGCCTGCTTTTGGGCGCCAGCGAACGAATAGAATAAATGACCGAAAATGAAATGCAATATATTAAATAAAAAAGCCATGACAACGAGTGCGAGGGGAGGAGAGGAGAGGAGAGGTGAGGAGAGTCAGTGAGGGAGATAAACAAAATGCAACTAAAATCTTTTGAACATTTGTGATTGCTGTAATTGCTTTGAATGATTCGCTTGCAGCTGCCGGCAACAATTTTTGGGGATTTCGTTTTTATGCCACAAACACACACACACAGACACATAGACACACACACGCATTTACATTGCACAACATTTTTATTTATTGTATATGCAATAAATAAATGTAGTTTTAAAAATGTATTGCAATTTGCGTTGTGCTATTGGTTGCTTGTTATTTGTTCGCACAAATATTCCATGAGCTTTTCCAATTTTTATGGAGTTTATTTTTAATTAAGCAACAATGACAATCTCTTGAAAATACTCACACACACACACGCTCTTTAAGGCGCTCTACTTTTGAACTCCAGAGAGACTGTCTGTCTGTCTGTCTGTCCGGCTGTCTGTCTAGGTAAGCCTGCACATTTTTCACGCTCAATTAAATTTCGCAGCCAGTTTTGTGCAAAATTTTTGCGGCTGCCTGACGCCGTGTGTGCTGCACTGCAATTTTTTCCTTTTCCTTCCCTCCATGCCGACCCCCTCCCCCCCATCTACTTTGCTTCTGCTCTGCAGCCAAGCCACTCACTGCAGTCGAAGTGCAGCAACGGCGGCAGCCACGTGGGGAATTTAATTCGCATTGATTGCATTTCGGTGCGCATTGCACTGCATTTGAAATAGCGTAGAAATATATTTTGGCAGCAACAGCAGTTGGCCAAAATGCCTAAGCCTGTCTGCCTTGAACCAGCTCGAAACGTAGCTCCAAAGCTTGATTTCAATCGAATCATTGTGTCTTGTTTGGATAACCTATTGCCAAATAATTTGCTTTCAGCACAAAAAGGGACAAGCTTATGAAGCAAAAGTACAGAACATTTTGTGTAATCGATTCTTATTAGTGTTGCAAAGCGAAGTGCGTCGCTTTAAGTGTTGCAATGCGACCATTTGTCCAGGAACGTTGGAAACTAGAACCATAAAGAAAGAACAGCGAATGGATAAAGTTTTTTCTTAATTGTTGAAATAGTGGTGGGACAAATTTAAGCAGCATTCTCTATTGCTTGGTCAGACAGGCAAAAGATTTCTTCGCCAATTCTTAATTCAAAAAGAAAAAATATAACAAGCAACAAAGTACAGAACATTTTGTGTAATCGATTCTTATTAGTGTTGTAAAGCGAAGTGCCTCTCTTTAAGTGTTGCAATGCGAGCATTTGTCCAGGAACGTTGGAAACTAGAACCATAAAGAAAGAACAGCGAATGGATAAAGTTTTTTCTTAATTGTTGAAATAGTGGTGTGTCTTTTTTATTTAAATTAGCACTGAGAAGCGAGCGGATGAATGCTCGACCCGCCATTCCGGGTCAACTGGAGTCTTCTAAATAACTTTTAACTCTAATCTTCGAAGTCGCATCTAAGCTTCTATATTTTAAGATGCCACTTCTTAAGGCACTAATCAAATAAATGACCTTTTAGGAGGGATCTTAAATAACATCATTTATAAAGAAACAAGTAAAAAAGCTAAAGTCGGGTGTCCCGACTTTGAAATACTCTGTACATATGTTTAAAATAATTATAGAAATTAAAAAAATTAAGAAAATTTAAAAAAATGTGGGTCGATTTTACCTCACGTACATTTCACTCTTGTACATTTCATGTACAGAGTATAAATACAAGTATATAGCTTTGTTTTTATACTATACTTCTGCTACAAATGATCATTGTTATATTTTTTGGTTAAATGCTTGATATTTATTATAAATAAGCTAATTGTCAGTCCAATTATTGCAACAAGGAAACAATTATGGAGAGATAATGGAATGCTTTTTGTTGCCAATTCTGTAAATACTGTAAATATTAAATACCTAGTTCGGCGATAATAAGTCGAGTGAAATCGAAAGTATTATCACTCTTTCAGCTTTAGCCAAACTGTCAAAAATGATTTACAGCCCAGTTTTCCACAGTCAAGACAAGCCGACAAGACCAGATTTTCTCTGAAATACTTACATCGAACAATTTCTTGCAAATCTCAGTAAAAATTGCGGGCATCATGTTCGGAAATCGTGGTCTGTTTTCTGGGTCGGGCAGGAACTGCAACCATCTGGTGGAGTTTAGGGCCGGCCGCATGAACCTTGTCGGCAAGGTAGTGCATGCGGATGTACGCAAGGGACTCCTTTATATGTTGCAGTCCGGGAACGGACTGATGCACCTTTGCTGGAAGGATCGGGGCACAGATATGGTCGAGGAGGACTTGATTGTTTTTCCCAACGACTTCGAGTGCCAGCGCATGCATCAATGTGTCACCGGTCGTGTTTATTTGCTGAAGTTCAGGGAGTCGACACGTCGTCTGTTCTTCTGGATGCAGGAGCCGAGAACTGACCGGGATGAGGAGTACTTCCAGCGCATCAACTTTCTGCTGAACAATCCGCCGGTACTGCGACAGCGTCAGGTGCAGCACCCGCTGAACATTCTCTCGCGCCCCCAGTTGATTGCCTTATTAGAGGGCTTTGGGTCCCTAAGAGGTCTCAACGGCATGCTCGATGACATGAACTACCGCATGGCCCTGATGCGCGAATTTTTCAATGGTGATCGAAGCGGACCAATGCAGGGGCTCCAAAATGTCATCATGCCGTTGCAAAGCCAACCATCTTCAACTCAGGGTAATGGGGCACCTTCATTGGAGGTCACTTCATCGGGCTCTTTGGAACCCTCGGGTGCTGGTGTCGCTGCTGCCACAAATGAGGAAGAGTCGCCACCTTCGTTGGTGGCTAAGAGACGCCGGGTGGCAGAGAGTGTGGACGGAAAGTTCGAGATGGCCTCAGGTAACGAAACAGTCAAAAACGAGCCAAAGGACTCCAATGCTCGTGCGGGCGATGAAGATAAAAATATAAAGAAGAGCTCTGGGGAAGCTGCAGAAACTCAAGAGCTTAAGAGCTCCAATGCTAGTGTGGCTCCTGATGAGGTGATGAAGCGTAAGGAAGATGAGCAAGATGAGAAACCTGAGAAGACAGATGAAGAAGCCGATGACTTCCCTGGACTCTTACAGGATCAAGAGGGCTCCGCAGTGGATGAGCTTTTGGAGTATAAGCAGGTTGATGGTGATCCAAAGTTTGCAAAAGTCCCAGAGAAAACAGAAGAAATAGGCGACACTGCTATAATGGAGCTGCATGTTTCCGATGCTTCCGAAGAAGATGCGGTCGAGAAGCCTTAGATGTCCCGTAATAAGTGAACCAATGCAGATCACATAGCGTTGGTGGACGACGACGGAGAAGAACTAAATCCTCATCTGTCATTACACAAAACTTTTTATTTCGGATGACACGTACATAACAAATATGTAAAGCCTATCTACCTAACACATATATATATTTATATTTTATTATATATATATTTTTTTGTGAAAATGTGTGGAAGTTCGATAAATAATAACTAAACTAAATGATAGGGGCAGCAAAGAATATTTTCTAAGGGATCCCATGGCCTACGTTTTTTTTTTTTTGTAACTGAAGGGGGATTAGGGATATTAGTCTGTAATGAAAATAAAAATTATATATGTGTAAGCAGCAGTGAGAAACAAATCGGTCGTCCGTCCACTTGTTTGACTGTATGAACAACGAAAACTCTGCAAAAAAATTAGCTAGACCTACGAAACTTGGCATGCAGACTAGTTTTAACTATTTGTTTCTATATGTTTCTTGAACTACTGAATATAAATCAATATCGGTGCACTATATCAAAAGCTGTTGCAGAAATCAAAATGAGAGCACATATTTTAAGGAACGAAGAAAACTTAGAAACTTTCTTGACTTTTTAGCTAAGCTTGATTCGGCTTAAATCTGAATGGCTGCTATCCTAATTACGCAAAAATGTTGGGTTGTCTGCTGAACTGCTTGGTTGGCTATTCGATCGTTTGACAGCAGGAAAAGATCAAATATTAGAATAATTTTTATTGCAAATAGGGCATTAAGCTACAATTTAAGGAACTAGTGAACTAGTTCATGCCATTTACTGCCATCACATCAACGCTGTGTGCAAATCCTCGTCCGTTTGTGTGTTGAGCTGCGCTATTGTTTGGTTATTCGACTGTTCGATCGTTTGACTGCTCGACTGTTCGACTGTTTGACTGCTCGAATATTTGAGGGCAGCGGCAGGAGCCGCGTTAATTAATAAAATGCCAAATAAAGAGGAAGGCGCATCGTTCGCTGCACAGAAGCGGAGCCACGTGTTCTTAGTGCCTGCTTTCCGTCCGTCCATCCATCTTTTTGTCCAACCTTCCTCCATCTGCCTTCATAATTATGAGCTGCATTAATTGCCGCTGGCCGGCGCCATTTTTAAGCCACTTGCGCGCCATTTTGCATAATCAATGGCAATGGCAATGGCCAATGGCTTTGGGTCTGGATCTGGCTCTGGGAGTGGGACTGGCACAGGGACAGGGGCTGGGGCTAGGGCTTGGAATCGGGAGCGCCAGCTGTTATCATTTATCAGCCGCGAGCTGAGCCGTATTGCCATATTTTTTGAGGAGGAGACGGAGGAGGAGGATACGTTATGCTAATAAACAAAGAAGCCATGCAAATTGTTATAAAACACACACATAATATTATAATAATAATAATAATGTTGATGCTGATGCTGATGCCATCATCATGGCGACTATAAAGTCAATGCTTTACCGCACAGCTGTACGTTTCGCTTTTAATTATAGACATAATTATTTAATGAATATGTGCGCGAGTGCGTGTGCGTGTGCGTTGGTGTGGGTGTGGGTGTATAATTATGTGGCAAAGCCGAGTTGTAAAATGGATAAATACGCGAGTTAAGGAGTCCAGACAAAAATAAAAATGCACGGCTGTGGGGGGAAAAATCAATTTTAATTTTGATGAAAATAAAATCATCTTAAAATTCATGCAACGCGTTTTTCACAAATCGACGACAGAACGACGGACTGTCAGACAGACAGACAGACAGGCCAACCTTCCGACCGCATTGTATAATTTTAATCACCAACAATAGCAGCAAACAGGGAAGAGAACGGCAAAAGCGAAATAATAATAAATAAGCATATAATAATTGAAAACACAATTAGCATAATTGCAGCCCGGCCCAGTCCCACTCCATTCCATTCCACTCCACTCCAATCCCACTCCAATCCCACTCCAATCCAATCCAAAGGTCGGGCGCGGGACAAACGCAGCAAAAATAATTAACATAATTTATATTTACACATATTTAGCCATCGTTACGCGTTGTATATATTTATCACACATACACACTGCCCGTACATGCGTGTGCCTCTGTGTGTGTGTCTGTGTGTGTGTGTGTGTTTATTTTTTCATTTTCCGGCAACAAATTAGTGTTAAACCCTGGGTGAAAAGTTGAAAGTGCTGGTCTTTTAAAACATGCCAGCAGGCATAGCTAGCTAGTTAGTTAGTTGGTTGGCTAGTTAGTCCGGGGAGGGTAGCCATTGGGACGAACGTTTATGTAAGTTACGGATTGTAGTTGCATGATTAAGGCTCCGATTAGCTAACAGACACGTTGCAGGCTCTGGACACCACACTATTTTGTGGTTATTGGCGTATTGCCATTGTTTGTTCTAAGCGAATTATCGCAATTGAATGCTGGAATTCGCTCCTTCTTCCACGAAATATTCCGATCCACCTGCCAATACCTGTGCGTTTCTTATTTGTTTCATATTCGAATGGGTAAAAGGGTATACTAGAATTAATCGCCAAATCTATAGAACAGTCAGAAGCAGACCCCACTTTGGAGGTGCTTATATAGCCAGCATGACGCGACGCCAAGTTCCGATATAGAAATGCTTGTCTATTCGCTTGTTCGTTCGGTCGTCCGCTCGTCTGTTCGACTGTATGAGCATCCACAACTTTTGAACCATTGGGGCTAGCGATATCAAACTTTATATATATGTTTGCCCAATCAAACCAGACATAGAAACGATTAAAGAAAAAATCACTTTTAGCCTTTTTGGTTTTAAAAGATGTTTTGACAAAATCAGTCGTTTATAGTATTGCATTATATTCTGAAATTTCATTCAAATCGATAAACTAACCAGGTAAATCATTCTAAGTACCAAAAAGTTTGTCGCTTATAATGTGAGCTTTCATGCATAAAGAACGATAAAATATATGGATAGAAATGATTGGAACTACAGACTTGATTTAAGTTGAACGGCTGTAGCGAGCAATAGGGCGTGTTTAGCGTATGCAGAAGTCGAGCTGGCACGACATTAACATTCAATTTATTCTGTCCAAGAACTGACAAAAGTCTATTGTTGTCAAATGCAGAAAATAGTTAAAAAGCGATCGAGCTTATTGGCTTCGATTTCAATACTTTGCCCAACTCAGACCTCGGTCTTGGTGGGGAGTTGGTTTTTGTGGGGAGGAGCGGAGGGTCGTTGCATTTTTGGGAATTTAAAAAGCCCATATTTTATCTGGCATATATTGCTAGATTTATTGACTGCCATGTGTGTGGCAGGCGAGTATTTATTTAATTTTTTTTATTGTTATTGTTGTTGTTCTCACACTGTTTTTGTTTCGGTTTCGCTTTAAATTTCTGTTGCTGTTCTTGTTGTCGTTCTACTGTTTGTTATTGTTTATCTTTGTATCCAAACACATATCAAGTTAGTCATTATTTTTGCAACAACGCATATAAATGCAATATCTTGTTCCTTCCTTTTTTCAACACGCACACACACACACACACACACACGCACACAAACGCAATAATATTAAAAAAGTTTATGCATATTTGTTCGATAAATTTATGTATATTTTTCGAAAAAAAAAAAAATGCTTGCTTTTAGTTTTGCTGTTAAATAAACACGATGCCCAGTTGACCAAATGTTATCTCCCGATTTCCGCACACGGCCAAAAACTAGTGTAACTGGAAAAAAATAGAAATAAGTAAATAAATGAAACGAACAAAATATTTAAGTAAAAAGCAATATAACAAAATAAATAGATAATATTTATGCTCCGCTCTGGCGTTATTTATTTGTACAATCTGAACGGCATTTGAAGGCTTTTTTGTTCGCCTTGCTTTTTTGCTGTGCTTTTTTTTTGTCGAATTTTTTCGTAACATTTTTCAACGTCTTTCAATCAAAGCCAGCGCGCCGCTTTGTATGCAAAATGCTGGCCATTAAACTTGAATACACAGACAACGAGCCGACATCGACATCGAGCCGACACCGGGACTCAAGTGAGACAGTTAGCTGGCTGGTTAAATGGACAGTCAGTCAGTCAGGCAGGCATGCAATCGCACTGTGGTTCCAAAGACAAAGTGACGCGAAAAAGTTTCACAGATTTTGATAACTTTTTAATGAAGCTCTTGCTAGAAAGTTGTAGGAGGAGGAACAACCTGTAATCGCTAGCAACTAATAATTAAGCAGTGACCAAATAGTGATCGAATAGCTGCAGTGATCAATAATCGATAGTAACTGATAACAGATAAGCATGAGCTAATTGAAAACGACCAGCGATATAAGAAGGAAGATTAGGGAAAATTTAATTTAACGAGAAATTATAAAATATTCTCAATTGTAATAACCTTATTCACTCAACAAAGTAGTGTTTTTTTAATAGAAACTATCTGTAATGTACTGACAAATTTATATACAATATATATACAATATACAAAAATATAACTAGGGCTGCAATAGGCACAAATTGTGTATCCACTACGCTTAATCGACAATATTCAAAGCGTTTTATAAAATAATTTTGAGATTTATGTTAGTAAATATTTAATCTATATAAGAACACAAATAAAAGTCTTTTCGCCTCAAAGATCTGATTGAAAAAAGAAAAAAACATGGCTGGGAGGAAATTCAACCCGTAAATGGGGTGCAATTGCTTTCACTAAATCTGCGCAAGTAGGCTACAGTGAGTTGAACCCAAAACTGAGGTAAAATCGAGTAAAATAGGAGAATTCGATCCATAAATATCGTAAAAGCGTGTCAATATGTGGATGGAGAATGTAAAATAAAATACTTCCACTAATAAAAGGACGATATGTGCGATAAACACATCTTCAAGCACTTGCCTTCAATTAAATCGGAACAAACGACCACTGTAAGGCCATACCGCCGAGGCTCAGACAATAAAAGTGCCTCGCATGTGCTGCACTTTTTTTTTCCCTCTTGCCCTTTTTTTTGTTTTGATACTGGGATTGATGGCTGGGCTGAACTGGTTGAATGGTTGAATGACTGACTGACTGAGTGAGTGACTGCTGCCGTTCCTGCCGTTCCACTCGAGGCTGTTGAATTGCTGAGCTGCCCACTCGGCTGTGGGGCACTGAGTTAGCGGACTACTATGCATTTCGGGTGCGTTTATCGCTCATTATGGGTAGCAGGTAAAAAATATAAAATATACTAAGAAAAAATGATAAGGATTGCGGAAAACTTTCAGAACTTTAGCTACAATTACGTTCAT